ACAGTGCACAACTTCTAAAATTCCATTCTGAACTTGATTCCTCAGAAAATGATACTTGGTCTCAATATGCTTGCTTCTCCCATGCAACACTGGATTCTTGGCAAGATTGATTGCAGACTTGTTATCAATCATCAACTTCAGAGATTTATTTACCTCAATCTTCAAATCTTTCAGCAAGTTCAGAATCCACACAGCTTGACATGCAGTCAGAGGGCCTGCAATATATTCAGCTTCACAAGTTGACAGTGCAATAACAGGTTGTTGCTTGGAACACCAAGAAATAGGACCTCTCAGAAATTTGAATAAGTATCCAGAAGTACTTATTCTGTCAACTCTATCTCCGCACCAATCAGAATCAGAATAACTCATAAGTTCTGATTCGATCTTTCTTCCAGACGGAAATAACACTCCGTATTTCAGAGTTCGCTTCACATACCTCAGAATCCTGACTGCATATTGGTAATGAGACAACTTTGGTTTGCTTATAAATATGTTAACCATTCCAATTGCATAGCAAATATCAGGTCTGGTAATACACAAATACCTTAGAGAACCAACCATTTGTTTGAAGGTTGTAACATCCACATCCTCTCCATCAGAATCAAAGTCCAACTTCTGATTTGTATCAGCAGGTGTGATAGCAACTTTTCAATTTTCTAGCTCAAATCTCTTCGAAGCTTTAGTTCATATTTCATCTGATGCAAAATGATTCCTTTCTCAGAGTACATAAATTTCATCCCTAGAAAGAATCTCATTTTTCCAAGATCTGTCATCTCAAATGCATTCATCAGAACTTTCTTGAACTCAGCTATCTCTTGTTCAGAACTTCCTGTGAGTAATATGTCATCAACATACAAACAGACCAGAATCATATTACCTTCTAAAATATGCTGAACATAAACACGATACTTCATCTCACACTTTTGACACCCTTGTTCCTTGAAAAATGAATCAATATTCAAATTCCAAGCTCTGGGCGCTTGCTTCAACCTATACAATGCTTTGTGTAATTTGAACACCATCCCTTCCTGATTCTTTTTCTCAAATCCAGGAGGTTATGACATGTATACCTCTTCTTGTAATGGACCATTCAGAAATGCAGATTTTACATCTAAATGCATCAAAGACCAATTCCTATTAGCAGTTATTGTAATTACTAGTCTGATTGTTTCATGTCTCGCTACAGGTGCAAACACTTCAAAGTAATCCAACCCAGACTTCTGTAGAAAGCCTTTTGCTACTAATCTTTCTTAATGTTTGCCAATTGATCCATCTAGCTTTAGCTTCTGCTTGAAAACCCATCTGACACTGATGACTTTCTTGCCTTTTGGAAGTTCTGTCAGCTTCCAAGTCTTGTTTCTCTCTATAGAATCAAGTTCTTCCTTCATGGCATGTAATCAAACTTGCTGCTTAAGAGCCTCTTCCATACTCACGGGTTCAAAGTCTACTAACATTGCACATTGAATAACTTCTCCTTCAAAGTCTACTTCAGTGTCTTGCAACATGTCAAACTCTGCAAATCTTCTTGGGATGCTTCTGACTCTTTGTTACCTCTGAACTGGACCTTCAGAACTTTCCCCTTCAGAAGCACTTGCTTCAGAATTTGGACTTTCTCCAGAACCTTAACTGTCTTCAGAGTCTGGATCACCATCGGAGTCAGAATTATCTTCTCCTTCTGTATCTTCTTCAGAGTCAGAGTCTTTACCAGCTTCAGAAACATGTGTTTCTGACTTTTCTTCAGGAGTTCTCTCATCAGAGTCAAGACGAGACCTTTCCCAATTCCAAACTTCTGATTCCTCTATAATGATGTCTCTGCTGAACTCAACTTTATTAGTTTTTGGACAATAAAGTTTATATGAACCTGTACTGTGGTATTCCACCAGCAACATCACTTTACTTCTATCATCCAACTTCTGTCTTCTGGGACATGTTTATAACATACAGAACCAAACACCTTCAGATGACTAACACTTTGCTTATCTCCAGTCCACTTCTGAATAGGAACTATTTCCTTCAATTTCTTCGTTGGACATCTATTGAGCATATAACATGCAGTTGCAACAACTTCTCCCCAGAGTATGAGGAAGCTTCTTCTCTTTCAGCATGCTTCTCACCATATCAAGAAAAGTACGGTTTCTTCTTTCAGCAAGACCATTGTGTTGAGGAGTATAAGGAGCAGTAACCTCATGCTTAATTTCATTCTCCTCACATAAGCTTCTGAATTTTGTGGAGTTATACTCACCACCACTATCAGTTCTAAGAATCTTCAGAGTCTGGCCACTCTGATTCTCAGCCTTCAGTCTGAACTTCTTGAATTCAGCAAACACCTTGTCTTTGAACTTTATGAGAGATACCCATGTCATTCTGGTGAACTCATCAACAAATGACACAAAATATTTATTCCCTTCAGTTGATGCTACTGGAAAAGGACCGCACACATCAAAATGCACTACTCCCAAGGCATGTTTTGCTCTTGGAACTACTTCTAATGCAAATGATAATCTTGGTTGCTTCCCTTCCATGCACACCTTGCATGACTTTTTAGGCTTCTTGATTATAGGAATTCCATGTACCAGATTCTTTGATTTCAGATGCCCTAAACTTCTGAAATTTAGATGACCAAATCTTCTATGCCACAGCTCACTCTCCTTGACAACACTTGTTTCACTAAGACATTCAGAGTTTGTAGTTCTAACATTCACCTTGAATGTTCTGTTCCTTCCCTGTTCTAACTCCATAATCAACTTCTGATTACAGTCATACAACTTCAGAAGATTGTCCTTCATGGTAACTGAAAAATCTTTCTCAACTAGTTGTCCCACACTCATCATATTTCTTTTCATGCCAGGCACATACCATACATTCTGGATCACTGCTGCTTTCTTATTGTTTAGAATAATTCTGACATTTCCCATACCTTCTGCATTGAGGTATTTATCATTAGCACATCTGATCTTTGTACTCTTCCCAGAGTCAAAATCAACCAACCACTTCTTGTTTCCATTAAGATGGTTTGAACACCATGTATCCATATACCACCATTCTGATGAATTCAGATCATCAGGTTCAGAAGTCAACAATAACACATGTTCATCATCAAACTCTGCTCTTACTATATTTGCTTCTTCTGACTTCTTTTCTTTGTTGGATTAGTAATCTCTGGCATAGTGGCCAAAGTTATTGCAATAGTAATATTGAACATTCTTCTTGTCAGACTTCTCCTTTCCCTTCTGGACATTCTTCTGCCTATCAGGGTTTGAAGATTCTGACCTTTGATCACCATTATTTTTCTTCCTGGCTTCTGACCAAGTCTGCTTCTGATGCTTCTTACCAGAAGTTACCTTTAGAGCCTGCTGCTCTACTTCCCTCTCAGAAGTTCTTGCAGTCATACGCAACTCATGCGTCTCTAGACTATTTTACAGCTCTTCAACTCTCATGGTACTCAGATCTTTGGAATATTCAATTGCTACCACAATATAATCAAACTGAGAAGTTAAAGATCTCAAGATCTTCTCAATAATTACTTGTTCAGACAGAGTTTCTCCACAAGCTTTCATCTTATTAGTGATTAGAATCACTCTAGAGATGTATTCAGAAACCTTCTCGTTATCCTTCATGTTGAGATTCTCATATTGCTTTCTGAGAGACTGAAGCTTCACCTTCTTCACTAATGCGTCACCACCGCAACATCTGACCAGTGTGTCCCATGCAGCCTTTGTTGTTTCAGAATCAGTAATCTTCTCAAACACATTTGCATCCACACATTGATGGATGTAGAACAATGCATTCTAATCTTTCTTTCTTAGCGCCTTCTGTGCTATCTTTTGTGCCTCTGTTGCGTCTGCTTCTAACAAATTATAATCATCGGTGACAATATCTAACACATCTTGAGAACCAAATAACACACGCATCTGGATCTTCCAACGATTCTAGTTTTTGCCATCAAATATTATAAGCTTGGAATGAATATCGTCTTCTACCTTTGAGCAATTTACGCAGAGTTTCCCAAATCAATGTTCCTCAAAACCCCAAAATCAAAATATTGTAATTCTTAATCACAATACTTCTTTTCCCCGTGAATTTCAAATTGGAGCTCTAGATACCAAATTGTTGGTGCACAAGGAAGATAAAAGACAAAAAGAATATTTACTGACAACTTCAAAATAAAGATTTACAATGAATTACAATAACCTATTCCACTATACTATTTATACACAAAAGTAAATCTAAAATATATCTTCTAACAAAGATATAAGAAGATCTAAGATATATATCTTCTAACAAAGATATAAACAATCTAAAAGATATTCTTAAATATAAATTAATATCTAATTAGTTATAAAATCTAAATTAATTCTAGCATGATTAACCAAAGTTTAAAAAAAGAGCCATAATAGGACAAAACGTATATGTCCTAAATTTCTTATATTTCTTTTTTAATTATATTCTTTATTCTTTATTCTTTATCTATATAATATTTCTTATTTTATGAAAAAATATAAAAGTGATTACATCATTCAAAACAAAGAATATTATTATCCTATAAGGTAAAGTATATTTGAGTTACGTTGTAAGCAAGGTCGGCACGTACGGTTGGCACGTGAGTTTCTAGAAGTTTGACAAAATTTTCTAAGTTCTACAAAGAAATATTCAAACATGCATTCAAAAGTTGTGAACGTTTTTTTGACATGCTTTTGTCCTTTTTCCATGCTTGATTCAATTTGGTCAACAAGATCTAATATATTCTAAACAATACCATAAACACAACCACATGGTCAAAAAAACACACCCTTCTTTCTCAATCTTTGTTGATCACTTGTTTCATAGAAAATTGGTTTCACTTTATACCTAATCACATCTCAACAAACCTGTTACTGTCTCATTTGGAAAATTTGTTACATCTTCTTTGACTTCCTAGGTAGTTTTTTTTCTTTGTTCCTTTTTTTCTATCTTGATTTTTCATTCTTAAGTGTTGTTGTTTCTTCTTCCTATGTTGTTTCATGGGTGTCTCTATTTGTTGTATGTAAATATGTCTTAGGTTTTTGTTTCATTTTTTTTTTCTTTCTTGATATGATATATGTTGATTTGTGTTTAATTTGATTTTTTTGATTTGGCAGTTACTACGCTTAGGTTGGTTTGTATCAAAAGTGAAGGTGGTGAGAGTTGGATAGAGATGGCTCAGAATCCAAGAGTTATGCCAAACTGTGCTTATGCTTCTAATCCCTATCATGAATGCACTTCCAATTGCTTGCAAAAGATCAAGGAGTCCAATTCCAAGCCACCTAAGAGTAAAAAGAGTTTTGGTAAGTTCTAGTTCTTGTTTGTTTGGATTGTGTTATTTTTATGATAGCTTGTAAAAACGACTTATATCTGACATGAAAGGGGTTTGTTGTTTTGTTGTATTTTGCTATAGAAATTGATTATGGCATAAGCACTTACGTCACTGCCGTCTTTATGGGCGTGCAAGACGGACTACCGCGCATAGTTTGTCACGATTAAACTCTTGTTACATAGGGTCTCATCACGGTTAAACCGTAGCTAAATAGGATCCTATAGTTATGCCAAAGTTGAACTGTGACTAACTTACGCAGGGCGTCAAAAACTTAAGATGACCTTGATAAACACTTATGCTAGAAGTACTTAATTAAGTTTTTTTTTTATATAAATCGAGTATCCTTTGCCCGCAACTCAGGGCCGTCTTTGAGGAAGACGGACTACCGCACAAGGCCCAAAATTTGTCACGTTTAAACCATAGCTAAAAAGGGTCTCTTAAAATATTAATCTCTTAGCACTTATAAAATCTGTTTTATTTCCAAAGTTTATCGCAAAAGTGTTACGGATGTTGGTAAAACCAAAAAGACGAACGAAGAAAAACGCACGATCTCAGGCTGTCCTAAAGCATCCAATCCTTACCATGAGTGTGATGCAAATTGCCAGAAACGAATGTCAGGAGCCGATTCAGGTATCGTTTCATTTTCTATATGCTATTTAACAATATCAAGTTCAATGATCGTGTGTATCCGAATAGCGTCATCGTGAATGTTCAATCAAGAATGTGTTTCTGACTACAATCTTCTCAAATTGTAGGTGTCATTTCATCGAAATTTGATAGGAGGATTACGATAGGTTCTAAGCCTGAACTCCCGGTTCTTGACAATATTCCAGACTCAAAAGTCGGAGCTATTTATCTCAGAGATGCTGCTTCACCAATATCAAAATATTATGAAACGAAAAAGTTGGAGGCGAAACGCAATGAGATAGTACCAGCTTCTGATGAACTACATACCCTTGATGTCAAGGTAACAATGACTTCTCTTTTCTCACAGAATTTTGTTAATCTTCCTTGTTACCGTCTTCATTTCACATGGACTCGCGTATCAATAAATGATATATTTTAGTAATATGGTATCAGAGTCTGGTAATCGTCGCATATAGTTGACGTTTCTCTTGCCGTTGTTTCTTTGGCAGCCTGGCAACGGAAAAGTCCAACCAAAGCAAGCAGGAGACAAAAACTCTTCGCCGAAAGTTGTTCCAATCGCCTGCATCGATGACATTGGAGAAGGTTTAACTTCAGCTGGTGCATCCAAGCACTTCAGTTATTCTGATATTGTCTGTGATAATGAGGACAGTGATGAAGAAGAGAACGATTCCGTGGTTTCCGAGCGACGTGTTCCAGTTGGAAAATACCATGTGAAGGAAAGCTTTGCTTCTATCCTGCTATCCATCATTAAAAAGTATGGTGATATAGGCGAAAGCTGCCATTTGGAATCCGTCGTGATGCGGTCCTATTACATCGAGTGTGTGTGCTTTGTGGTCCAAGAGCTGCAATCGTCCTCGATAATGCACTTAACATCGTCCAAAGTCAAGGAACTGTTGGCCGTTCTTAAAGATGTAGAGTCTGCTCAACTTCGCGTGGAGTGGTTGCGTACGATCGTCAATGACATTGCTGAAAACATCGAACTCATCAACGAGCACCACACCGTGGAAACGGAGAAGGCTAACTATGATAAAGAAATGATAACATTGAAGAAAGAGCTTGAATCAAAAACTGAAATTCTTGTTCAGAAAGAACGTGAGGTGACGGATATTAAAACAACGATCGACGGAATCAGAGAACGTCTCGGCGAGCTTGAAGTGAAGTCATCTGATTTGGAGAAGAACATGTTGAGTATCAAGTCAAAGGTTGATAATTTGGATAGCAGATCATTGCTAGATGAACTACTTTAATTAATAATAATGTAAACTTCATAGGTAATATGCATAACAAGTAGAATATGCAATGCAAGTGAATAATAAACTCATGGGAACTATATGCTATATTTTCAAGCTAGGTAAAGCTATGATTATATGATAGTAATACACCTTAAACACATTTTTGCTGTAATGTTTAATTTATGATGTTTGATACATTATTTATTCCATTGCAAATTCAATAAGACAATAAATTTTAAACAAAGAAATCAAACATTCATTAACATAGAAAATTGAATCTGCAAGCTAAGATTGTAGTAGTTGAGATTGTATCAAATTTCATGTAACATATTAGGAGCAGTTTCTATAGCCCACTATTTGTAACAAGTGAAGGCCCGGTATTTGAATTGATTAGGGGATTACTTCTCTTACTTTAAGGGGGTGCTCAGGCACTTTGTAAAAATTTAAAAATATTTGTAAAATTCAGAACTTTATATCTTGACACATTTCATATACACTGCATATCTTTCGCAAGTGAGTCACACCCTTATTTACTTTCGAAATAAATTTGGAAGAATTTATTCTGCTATCCCAAATTTTATTTTAATATGACACTACGAGACATTATACAATTATCATATTCACCTTGAAAAATATAAAAATTCATTTCACTATTCTATTCTATTGTAACATTTCAATTTTTTTTTAAAAAACTCTCGTGAATACCAGATATTTCATTCAAACTATCGAATTTATGATCAATGAGTATCTAATTTTACCGAATTTTTACATTTAAACCTATTTACATGCATTTTTACCATTTTTTTGAAATATCCAGTAAAAACTCATGTTTTTCATGCATTTTTACCGAATAGTTTGATAAAACCGGTAAAATGTGTATCTTTCAGATATTTTAAAAACTCCGATAAAAATGTATGGTTTTTACCATAGTGAACAAATGTTATCTAGTTAACCGGAAATTTCAAAAAATTCGGGAAAACCATGAAGTTTTCAAATGTTGTAGTGAGAATTAGAGGATCAAACGACATGATTGCTTCTATGCAGCGTGACAGAGTTGTAGTTACTCCAGCGAGGACTCCTGCGAGAGAAGATGACATAGAGGACTCGTATATTCGGGCGGAAATAATAGCATTAATCGGTTCTCACCGGAGGCAGATGACGGCTGAGTAATTTCCCGCACCCCACAGTATTCGACGTAGAGGATCTAGAGCTCCTGCTGAATGGACCAGAGATGCTAATGATGAGCCAGTTGCTAAGGATGTCCAAACAGTAGATGAGGATGTCATGCAGATGATGGCCGAGACAGAGGTGCCCTATTATTCTGAGACAAAGGCTACAACTACTACAAAGTTGACTCCGCCTACTGTTGGAAATCCACCAATTCTTTATGATGAATTTCGACCACCACTGATGATTAGTTATGAGACAAACAAATAAAAGAACAATGGAGATATTTCTGCAGAATTTCTATTCTGCCCACAAACTGTGGAATCTTTATTAATTCATTTTGCAACTGCAAAATACTGTGAATGACTTAATTATAAAATAGGGGTTACTCCCTCTATTTATAGATTTAGGTTAGCTTGCTCCCTAAGTTAAACTCAAGCCCAAAATATCTCTTTACTAAATCAAATCTAATCTAGATTTAAATTCAAATCTATTTAAATCTAAACAAATCAAATCTTTTTTTGACACATATGAATTACAATTTAACACACCACCTAATTCATTGTGTCTAAACTGTCTATGTTCACCATGGCCCTTAGCTTTCTGAATACTTCGACCTGCACTTCCTTCGTCATGATGTCTGCAATCTGATTCTCAGTTCTGCAGTGTTCCAAATTCATCTTCCCATTTGCTACCTGCTCTCGAAGATAATGGAACCTCATTTCGATGTGCTTACTTCGACCATGTGCTATTGAGTTCTTTGCCAGATTGATAGCTGACATGTTGTCTATCTTCATGGTAATTGCTCCATGATTTTTCCTTGTTATCTCTTCGACCAAGTGCACCATCCAGGTTGCTTGACATGCACAAAGAGAAGCAGCTATGTATTCTGCTTCACATGATGATAATGCCACTACTGGTTCTTTTCTCGAACTCCAAGCAATTGTTGCACCACCAAGCATAAACACATATTCTGCTGTTGACTTTCGATCTTCAACATCACTACACCAACTCGAATCAGTGTATCCCACTAACTTGCATTCTTTTCCTTTATCAACTGCAGAAAACAAAATGCCATAATCGAAAGTTCCTTTAAGATACCTTAGTATCCTCTACACAGCTGCTAGATGTGATACCTTTGGCTTCTGCATGAATCTACTTACCATACCTACGATGTATGCTAAGTCAGGCCTTGTATGACAAAGGTATCTCAATGATCCAATAAGTCTTCTGTATTGGGTTGGATCAACATCATCTTCATCAGCATCTTTCGACAGTTGCAGTCTTGGTTCTACAGGTGTCGAAGTTGCGTTGCATTCTTCCATCTCAAACCTTTTGAGAATTTCTCCTGCATATCTTCTTTGATGCATCATCAAACCTCTACTGCTCTTGTAGAATTCGATACCAAGAAAATATGAAATCTCACCCAAATCAGACATTTCGAATTCCTTGTTAAGGTCAACTTTGAAGTCTTCGATCTCACTCTTGCAGCTACCTGTTATCAACAAATCATCTACATAGAGACATAGTATAAGCAATTTACTCTTGCTTCTTCTTACATATACTCCATTTTCAGTTATGCCCTTCACAAATTCCTTCTCCCTTAGAAAACTATCAATTTTCTTATTCCAAGCCCTTGGAGCTTGTTTCAAACCATACAGGGCTTTATGTAGCTTGTACACCTTTCTTTCTTCGTCATGTTTCACAAACCCAACTGGTTGTTTAACATAGACTTCTTCATCTAAGGGTCCATTTAGGAATGCACACTTCACGTCCATCTGACATATGTGCCAACTGTTGATTTCTACTAGACCAACAATCAGCCTGATTGTTTCGATCCTAGCAACAGGTGCAAAAACTTCGTCGAAGTCTATTCCTTCTTTCTGTAGAAATTCTTTCGCCACAAGTCTTGCTTTGTGTCGAGTTACTTCACCTTTCGAAATAGTCTTCACTTTGTATACCCACTTGACATCAATTGCCTTCTTGCCTTGGGGCAATTCGACAAGTGACCAAGTGTTATTGTCTTTGATAGACTTTACTTCTTCGTTCATTGCTTTCACCCACTTCGAATCCTTTAATGCTTCAGCTGCATTAACAGGTTCGACATCTGCATAGAAAGCATAATGTACCAGCTCACCTTCATCATCTATCACATCATCTGATGTAATCACACAATCTTGCAATCTTGCAGGCATGCATCTTGTTCTTTGAGGTCTGCTTGTACTTGGTATATCTGTTGGCTCCTCTTGTCGAACTTCTCTTTCGACTTGAGTTTCTGGCTCTTCGAATAAGATTCCCACTGAATCTTTCTTGACATTTGCAGTCCAATCCCATTCTTTGAACTCATCTATGATCACGTCCCTGCTGATCACAATCTTCTTGTTCTCTGGATCGAACAACTTGTAGCCTCCTGTCGAATGATATCCAACTAGGATCATTTGACTTGACTTGTCATCAAGTTTTCTTCTCAACTGATATGGCACATGTCTATGTGCAATAGATCCAAATACCTTCAGATGACTCAAGCTAGGCTTCACACCAGACCAACATTCTTCTGGAGTAATTCCTTCTAGCTTCTTTGTAAGACATCTGTTCAAAATGTATGTTGCAGTCGAAACAGCTTCACCCCAGAACTCTTTAGGTAAATTCTTTCCTTTCAACATACTTCTCACCATATTCATGATGGTTCGATTTTTCCTTTCTGCAATTCCATTTTGCTGTGGAGTATATGGTGGCACCACCTCATGCACAATCCCTTCTTTTTCACATAATTTGTCGAAGTCTTTCGACACATATTCTCCTCCACCATCAGTTCTCAAAACTTTGAGCTTTCGACCACTTTGTCTTTCGACCATGGACTTGAACTTGGTAAATACTTTGATCACTTCACTTTTCTGCTTGATCAGGTAAGTCCATAGCTTTCGACTGAAATCATCTATGAATGTAACAAAGTATTTGTTACCTCCCATCGAATCCACCTGAATTGGTCCACATACATCAGAGTATATGACTTCGAGATTAGCCTTCGATCTGCTTCCTGCATCCTTGCTGAAGCTGTTCTTGTGTTGCTTCGCCTGCACACATTCTTCACATACTTTGTTTGGAATGTCAATTTCAGGCAATCCTGAAACCATATTTCTTCTCTTCAAATCTCTGATGTCTCTGAAGTTGAGATGACCAAGTCTATAATGCCATATCCATTCATCTCTGCTAGCTGCAGTCGAAAGGCACTTGTGTTCCATCACGTTTAGTTCAATCTTGAAGGTTCGATTCTGAGACATAGGAGCCTTCAAGATTACTCTCCCATTTGCATCAACGACACTCATCAACTTATCTTCGATTGACACTTTATAATTCTTTTCGACCAACTTCCCTATACTGAGCAAATTGCTCTTCATGCCTGGTATGTACAATACATTCGAAATTACTGACTTCTTGCCATCTTTCCTCATGATCATAACATCACCAATACCTTCAGCTGCTAGTGTGTTGTCATTTGAAAATTTTAGCATATTCTTCGTTGAGGGTTTTATATTGACGAACCAGTCTTTCCTTCCAGACATATGTGATTAACATCCTGAATCCAAGTACCATTGGTCCTTGAATCTGTCTTCATCTCTTGTTGTGACCATCAGCATCATCTCTTCTTCTTCTTCATGTTTTGCAAGCTTTGCATCAGTTTCTTGATTCTTTCGTTTTTCTGGACAATCACTCGAATAGTGACCATACTTCTGACAATTGTAACATTGAATGTGACTCTTATCAGGTTTTCGACCACCACCTCTTCCTCTGTTTGCAGCACCACCTCTTTGGTTGCCTTGGTGTGGTCTTCTTTGATTCGACACGTC